TATACATATTTTTATTGTCCTCTACCATCCGTCTGGCTGAGAACACTTTATATTTTCGTAACTCTTTTTGCCGACCCTACCAACTATACTTTATAGTTCCTTCAACAATAAATACGTAACGCATAACTAAAACGTTGGCCTAAACTTGTGTACACGATTCTCAAATACTTATAGAAACTTAGCACATTTCTAGGCAGAGCATTAGCTCGTTTACGTCTTGTGACGTGTGAATGATCGACGTAAGCGCAACTGTCAACAATGCACTATATTTGACATGCGCGTGGCCCACGCATGTGCGCTACGCGTGCGGTTACTCTACGCATGTGCAGAACTCCACACGGTGCGCATGCGCTACTTACAGTCAATAGTCGTGCGCTTCGTCTACAAATTGGCTCTAATAGTCTCGCGTGCGCGTTGCGAACATTACTTAATCTCGTCCAATTAATTCCCATGATGCGCGCATTAATATGTTTATATCAAACATTGCCACTTTGTTGGGAAACTACTGGAACGATTCCAACCGATCAGTAACTGGTTGCAACCGTTGTATCGCAACCGAACCCTGAACCACCGGTTTCTAGATTTTATTCAGTTCTGCGGGAATCTTGATCACTGACTCGTTTCAAAGGGTTTTAGATACTTGGTGCAAATGGAATGGTTTCTGTGAACATGAAATTTGTTTCTTATTATTGGCTGAGTAAAAAGTGTTGTTTTAAAAAACAACTAGAATGACAAAATAAAAGTTATATTTTTTTCTACATTTAACAAACTTGGCCGACGTATTGGTATAATCTCTAATTTAACATACACACTTACTCCGAAAAATTCCCTAATTCTGACTGGAAAAATCAAACTAATGAGGTGACTCATGTTATGCTGAATCGAGTAACACAGCGTAGCCTCAAAACATTTTACTTAAATGGATACAAAGTTAATTTTTGCTTGTAAAAATATGAAACTTTTTCGTAGATTATTTAATCAAACCACGGTTTTTGGGTCTCCCCGATCCCGTCCACGTAATCTAGGTTTAGGCATTGACTGTGGATACACTGTCGTAAAATATAGGCCACATTAAAGTAACAAAAGCTGTAGCTGGGTTAAAACAATTATATATGCAGTTGAATTTAACCCCCAATCATTGTAAGGTTCCGTCAAATACGATTTTCTATCATCATCACCACGCCAAAACAACAGCACAACTTAAAGAAGATATAAATTATAGTTATTTCCAAAACTAATAAGTGAAATCGAATATTCTGAGGTTAGTCCAATCTGAATTGTCAACTCTAAATCAACCTATATCAGGGTTCGCTATTACCACAGTATATAATAATGGCTTATTTGGACTAAAATTATTATGAAAGTTTTAAAAGTTGAATCAATTTAAATCGACCCAAATCAGCAACAACCAAAACCCAACCATCGTTTTTCTAATATACCTCGACATAAACACTGAGCAAAAACACCGGCACAATATCGCCAAATTGAGCCATTAGGTCGGTTGTAATTGCCAGAGTTTTATGGGACGTCGTATTAACGCTCAATTATACCAGGACCGGCCGCCGTAAAAGTCGACCTTGAATCGGTTTCGAAAAGACATTAAACTTGGACGGTTACGACGGTAGGTTTGGGGAAAAAACCCACAGAAGCTAAAAAGTCTGAACATTTTAATTGGGAGTTATAACCAATAGTGTATAGAGGACCGCACTTCAATACAGGGAAAATTAAAACTTCTATACTGTATCACCTGAGACATCTTTGAATGGCCTTATTGGCAAACCTATCTATGGTGGAATATTGTATTGTACAAGGTTCATATGGGTTTGAGATTTATTTTTCCCAAGTACGTGGTTTTATGAGTTGGCTGTATGATTGACGGAATATGGACTTAGTTATTGATTGGCAACATTGATAACACAAGGCCGTTGCGGTATGGTGGCAATAGTAATTTAACTTTGAAATTCTACTAGTATGCCTACTATACCTGTCACATCGTAAAATCTGAAACGTCGACATGTTTCATTTCCAGTTGTGTTTGGTTGTACAAATAACTGTTTTTCATTATAAATTTAGCACGTGCACTTTACTCTTAGGTTGTGGGGCCCCTTCAAAAGAGAACATAATCCAAAATTATTGTATACCATAACCTAAGTAACATTACACCATTGCACCATTACATTTACCATTACAGTAAATATTTTGATTTCGTTATGTAACTTTAAATTGTGAAATAACTAAAATAAATATAAACCTTTAACATGCTGACCTTATGTATTAGATGTAAACCAACATAAACATTACTGACTGTAATTTTTTCCATAAGCTAACAAATCTATAAGATAGTTGATTTAATGTATAGCCAAGCCACCGACTCTTGTGAAATACCGTTTTCTTTGTCATTCAACTTATATAGTATGCCAAACTTTCCAGTTTGGTCGGATAAACCATTGTAAACTACATATCTTAATGTTCCATTACACTATAGTGCGGGAGCTGGAAGTAAGAAAGAACTTAAGTGGTAGCATATACTATGGGAGGTTTATAAGCCTATGAAGTATTTGAGTAACGCCATTAACTGATAGTTAAAACAAGCACAAGCTATAGATTTATCAAAGATTCCACGTGGACCAAGTATTCTTTCTTCGACATCAGCTTGAATGTTTCGAAGGAAATCAAACACAAAATTCTGTCTGGTATACTTGTTTAGTGCATACATAATATTTATTCATATTTTACGAACTTAAAAATTGGCACCATCTTGTACATTTGGACCCAAAGTCCAATTGTTATGCAAATTTAATGTACCATATTTTTTTTTTTAAGAAACTATGAGTTTGTCTTACAACAGTGACTCAACAATCAGTTCTACTCTAGCTTATGTATGCTTCACTTGTGTTTCTTCAGCCGCATTAACTGAGGAACACAAATGTTATACATCACGAGAGCCTAAAGAACCTCGTCCGAACCCAACACGCAACATTTCTTACGCGTGGTCTGAGCAGAAGAAAATACAGGTTAATTGCATAGCTGTAGCTGTACACTGTACAGGTTGTCTTGGAATTTGCTCAATGATGTATCTGAGCATAACTCCTAGTTACGTTGAAGGAATATGCAGGGTTTTTGAAACTACATCGGACCATTTTGTTTATCCAGAGAAACTGATTTACAATAAATATTGGTCAAAAGTGCTACTTATCTAACTGGGTTTTATGTAATGAATTCAACTTTGATTCATGAGCTGAAAACTTGGAAACTTTTGTTGAGTTTTCGTATAGGAAAAAGGGACACAGCTGGTCCATATCAGATGTACTGTATACAGTAGAACCCAAAGGCAATACAGCTGTACAATGTTAAAAAATACTCCTTTTAGATCACAATCTCTAAGAATTAGATACATAAAAAATTGTTTTGTGTATTTCTATTCAGTAAGTTGAGTGTGTTCCTAAGATAACTGTTTGATTCTTCTTGTTTTCCCAACTTAAAAACTAATGCGACAGAAATAGCGTGATACATTGTTAAGCCTTTGCTTGGTATTCGGTATTATTACCTAACATATTAATGATAAGATTGTAAGGTTTAACTTTAATATTTAAATAAACATTAATGTTCCACCTGCGCACATGTACATCAAACATATACGTCAACAGCATGCTTCAGATCATAAAATAAGTCTACTTGCAATGTACAGAATCAATTACCATACTCAGTAACTCATTGGAGCACTTCATGCAATTAGGAACACTGAAGTTAACCACACTGAATCAATTTTATCACATAAAAACTATCGATTTCGAATAATAGGATCAAACTACAACTCAATTAAAAACAAAATTGCCTTCTTTATTATTTTGAGAAATCTGAAGCTGCAGAATCTGTTTTCCACCCGGATTCCTGGCAACACATCAAGATAGTGAGAATATCTTCAGCATAAACATCATCAGTGCTGACGAGTGGGCTGAAACAAACCGATGTGCTGATATACTTGTACTTGTTACCGTCTGGAGGCCGGTGCTGATATCGATATCACTATCACTATCAGTTTCCGGTCACCCACCTGCTCTAACTATATCAGTTTGGCTGACAAATTGGTCTGTGGGGTTCATCGATATATAAACACAATGTTTGTTATATATCGATGGTGGGGTTATGTGGTTTGACTGTACACTTTTTAGCTCGGGATTGCAGATCAGAAGTAATAATGTGCCCAAACGAAAATGTTTTTCTTCCTTAATTGGCTTAAAATTTCAAAACTACATACAGCTGGTGCTCAGATCTCAGTAAATATTTTTATATTTGTTTAAAATTTTCATTTGTGTACCTAGGAGTTTTGTAACTAGCATTTTGTATCCTATTGATTCTCGCTCAGTTTCAGTCCAACTCTCCTTTGTCAATATTATAGTTTTGTCAAAAATTTAAGAGCAGTTTTACCATAGGCTGTATTATTTTCGCCTCACAATAGTTTCTGTATTTTAAAAAAATCAACAACCTTCCAACCAATTTAATAAAAAAAAATAATAATAAAACAACCCATTTACCTAACCCCACGCTTTATGTAAATTAATTTAATGCCGTATCTATAAATTTATTAACATAATACTTGTTCTGCATAGGCTTGAGTCGTATCACGTGCAAACTTTCTATGGTTGAGTCATTTACAATATTAATGTATTATAATTAAGCTTTATTCAAGGGAGAATTTGGCTTAAATGAGAGAAGCTCTTCAGTAAAGTATTCGCAATTTACTTATTTTTTTACCAACGGCATCCAACGTACTGCGATGTATTGCAAATAGCATTTAATATAAACCACATTAATACTGTTTGCATTATACATTTGTTGTAGCAAAATTGTGCACTAAAACATACCTTAAGACACAAATTAAACAGCATTCGTTTCTCACCATTGAAATCATGGCATGCCTTTACTCTACTATTATGTAGTCTTTAGTCTAAAATGTATAATCTATATTTTTAGTTTCTCAAAGTCAACTGCTGTTCCAGAGACGAGAAGCAGATAGACCTTGCGGAACAACTGGAGAGCGTCGCCTACGTACTGTGTGGAGAAGAACACATCTCGTTGGACAAGTTCTGTCAGATCTTCCAAGCCAAAGGGGTGAGTGCTCGATTTCGATCAAAACTATATTTTTTTTCTCTACTATAAGTCATTAAATTATTACGTAATCAATTAGAAAACCATACAATTCGAATTCATAATTAAATAGGTTATTTAGGTATAATCCAGACAAAAACTGTTTAAAAATTCCACAAACTACGACGATTAACAATTTTATTATATGTAGTAATTATAAATAAATAAAATGTTTTAAGTCAAATTCTGTACCCATTTTTATTCCATAAGGAATTTATATCCATTTTTTTAAACTTATTTTTTGCTTTTTATGGATTTTGTTTTTGTTCAGGATCATTAAGATACTAGGTATTAAATATAACAAAGCCGACAACCATTATAGAGCAATTCAATTGCGTGTATCACGTATTTAGGAAGACTAATGTTTGTTTAACTTATTTGTTCTAAAAATATGAGTTTCTATTTTAAAATTTACTAGCCCTACATTTTAAATCGTGGTATTCTGATAACCTCTGTAGGATCCTTGTCTAATTTGTTATCCTTAAAGATCAGCAAAGGATAAATGAATTTTGTTCGATTTATGTGGAGTATTTTTCTTACTTTTACTACTTGGATTTTATGGCGATCGCTCAAGCATGGCCAGACACGAAACACACACCAACACAAGTTACAGATTATACAAACAGATAGATTTAACAGGTTGATTGGTAGTATCCAAAGTCAATGTCCCTGTATTGTTGCTAAGCAACCTCATTACCGTTGATTTGTTCGGTCCAGAGTCGTCCGCGATGCGTTTGACTCATGCAACACACAGATACTATCTGATGTATGAAGGTCTATTAACGTTTAAATACATATTTACCGCCAGCAATCTATCAGTATCTAAAGTGCAATCTGTAATGATTTCAAATTGCCAACGAAATAAAGACCGGTGGAACGTATAATGTAGAAGTGATAATTACAGGTATATTCAGTCTCATCGTGAAGTATTTGATCGTGTGGTTAAGTGATTGGCTTATATTTCTTGATCTTTGGGCTTTCAATAAATGATAATTTGCTAAAGAACCAGTTGGTTTTGATCATGAACAATGCTGTCACATCAATCATGCTACAATCATCGTTCACTCATGTCCGTCTTAAAATACACAACCTGGAGACCATTATAATCGTCTCGTTTAGTGTTAAAAAAAATTAAATTAGTAACTTCTTGGGATGGTTGAACAGATCCATTCTTCTCTTGTGTCAATCATTAAACAATTAATAATATTTGCTTATACAATCCCCATGCTGTCACCGAGCGAAGCTCGGCCCCCAGTAACGGTTGCTGACCCTCGATGATACATGCATACGTGGTAGTGTAAATCATGGAACACCTAGTAAAACACCCTGTACCACAATTTATGAAGGTGGTTTAGGAAGACTCGCTGCTAAGTATGCAACCTCTTACTTCTTGTACACTATGTGGCGACACCATAGATCATTGTTGGAACTTTCTATGGGGACCGAGCTATGCATTGGGAACGCACAGTGTCCAGTTCTACCAATCTCGAATTTTCGACGAGAAAACATTTTATGTCACACGATTAATTAAAAATACTCAGTTCTGTCGATTCAACATGAAATCGGTTTAGCTCGCTTTTTAAACTACCTGCCCTGTTATTAGATCTCATGTAAAATGACAGTAGTAGCTTCTTGAATTTTAAAACAGAACCCAGTTGTCCTTATTTGGCTTTTAATGTTTGGTCGTTTCAATAAAACAGCAGATCTTATAATAGTTACAAAACTACAACGTTCTATAAATTGGTGTAAAATACCTGCATTTATGCGATCTTGTGTTGTAGCTGAGTTGCTACCGGTTTCAACTCACATTGGAGTCATCTTCAGGCAGTTATAAGATGTCATATCGCTTCATTCGAAGGTCGTCAGTGGATAATAAATACATAAACAAAACACAAACACGTACACGGACATAAAAAAGAACATTTAAAGCTGTAAAAATACTGAGAACGGTCTAGACATAACTTTCGCCCGATCACGTCGTGTCGTGTCCCGTAGGCCTACCGTTCTCAGTATTTTTACAGCTTTAAATGTTCTTTTTTATGTCCGTGTACGTGTTTGTGTTTTGTTTATGTATTTATTATCCACTGACGACCTTCGAATGAAGCGATATGACATCTTATAACTGCCTGAAGATGACTCCAATGTGAGTTGAAACCGGTAGCAACTCAGCTACAACACAAGATCGCATAAATGCAGGTATTTTACACCAATTTATAGTATTTAAATGCGATCAGGAGGCTAAAATTCAATATAATGAAGTACAACGTTCTCTTATATAACCTAAAAATTCTGTATTTATCCCAATATTATTTTCAGCGTAACTGTACTGACACCGACCAAAACCAATTTCAATTTTAACCTATAAGTGTTGTCTTTAACCCTAAGTTAGTTTTGGCTCATTAGGTATTTTATTTTTCAAAGTGGGACCTTTCATCATCACAAACAATTTCAGATGTCTATGACCAAAGATAATTTTAGCGATATTGTGCTTTCGGAGTCTCAAACCATAGACAAAAAGAATTAAATATAGACTGTCAGCCCTGCTGTGGTTACCATGGTTACCATAGGTTCTGGCACACACCGCTGGGAGCGCCGTGTAGTTACGTAGTGCGTATGCCGTAACTACATGGCGCTCTCAGCGGTGTGTGCCAGAACCTATGGTAACCGCAGTTGTCTAGGTCAAACTAACTATAAATTTTATTGCTGTTTTAAGTCAAAACTACTTTCGCTTAATCGTGTTCCAACACAACCGAAGTTATCATACAACCTTTGAATTATATCTATCTTCAACCCAAAATGCTACCACAGAACATCACCTTCCAACTAAATTAGAACCAATATACTCACACTACCTCCAAAAATAGTTTCATAAAAATCCGTCTACCCAAACTGCAATACCACCGTACTTACCTCTTACCCAAACTCCATCATTGTCTACACCGCCCTGAGCACATGCAGCGCTCAAAACATGCATTCATTTTAATCTGCAGTGTTTCGCCGCCCGATAGCTGCTTGTTATATACCGTTATTGTTCATATATAAATGCCGGTCCGTTATCTGCAGACTTTGATATATGTAACATCTGATCGGCTCAGACCAGACTACGTTATGTACGAGCGGTACTTTCCCTGAATTTACCGACCACCTTGTCCTTATTTCATTGAAAATGGAGCAGTGAAACAGCCGATATTGCGATCAGGTTGGCTCACCGGCTACATTACTAAACAAAATAAAATCGAGTTTAGTAATTTGATGAATTGAAGACAATCTTACGGCATGTTTCTACATGTAAATGTTCATAACGGTTAGTTGTTCACCGTTTGTTTCTTAATCAAAAAGGCTTTTAATAAAAAAAAACGGCATATTTTTTAAACTGTTTGTCTTCTGTTCAACCAAAGTGAAAAGTAGAACACGTTAAACCATTCATAAAATAAAATCAACATCTTTAAACTTTACCAACATAAAACACAAACAAAAGATTTCGGGTTTCAATAGGGTGGGTAGTTTTCTTCCACATTTCTAATTAATAAACCCAATTATATAGTCGAAATCGATCGTAATAATATCATTGACTTTGGATACTGAGTCATACATTCCACCTACAAGTGCCAAATTAAATTTATCTAAGAATTAATTTAATTAAGTATCTTGCTCGAGGAGAACATAGTTGTATGATTATCTCACACATTGCATTACTATTATAGATCAATTTTAGTAGTGACTTTTAGTAATTAAAACACTGTATAGTGTAGACTCACGTAAATAGTGTTAACGACACTCGTAGACGTTTTTACAGCATTCGCCAAGGCTCGTACCTTAAATTTTCTACTCGTGTCGTTAACACTATCTTTACGCAATCGTTGTGTGAACTACTATTAACAATATAGATTACGTAGCACTATCAGAAAGCATTGTCTATCAAACAACAACAACAACAACAACAACAAAACAATGCACAACAGGAAAACCAGATCCTACCCCTCTAAAACTTCAGGTTTGCACAACTTAACCTTTTTTACTGAGCACAAACCGTAGCATCGTAACTAGTTAATCACAGTGATTTCCACAAGAAATCACAGGTTGGATTTAATCGTGAGTAATCAATAATAATGTTAGTTACTGACGATGCGTTATCAGCTGTGATGCCAGTGATCAGCTGATTCTGTTATCAGATGGTCAGCTTCTACCTTCCATAGGTCAATCATGGGAAGTTTATGGGATAGTGGGAGGTTTGAGAACTAATAAGGTTGTATACAATACGTCGGCAGCCTAACTGGTTCATTATGGAGTTTATGGCTTCGTGATGTAAACTCTTAAACTGTTGTAGTGCGTTTCTGTTGAGGTTGTTGTGGTAATGCGTTCTCCTGTTCATCGGGTGATGAACAGGAGTGATTTGAAACTCGGGTAGATGTTGTCTACCTTTACGGCAAAGAAAATGATACTATGTTAACAGTATGGTGAGATCAGGTATCGCCATATCTAACACAATTCAGACATATTGTTGAATAGTAGTAACTTCGTGCCTTTACTTAGCAAGGAGTTGTACATATTGCAGGAAAACGGTTCTTTGGACCCGCTACATAAAACTGATAGTATCAAAAATGATAACATATTTCCTATATTTAATCTTACTAATATTATAAATCTGAAAGTTTGTGAGTTTGTGTGTATGTTTGTGTGTATGTTTGTGTGTGTGTTTGTTGCTCAATCACGCATAAACTACTGGACGGATTGGGCTGAAATTCGGCATGATGATAGCTCACATTCCCGATTAACATTAAAGCATATTCATATCTCAAAAACCCTTTCGGGCTCCGCCCCAGTGGCTCTGTAGTTCCCCATGTTAATCTTATGATTTTTCATATTTAAAAGGAATTAATGAATCTTAACAGCTGTTTCAATTAAACAAGTTGGTTCTGTTCTATGATGTGCAATAGCATAAAAGTTACACGGATTACCAACAG